TTGAAGTAAAATTATAAAGGTATACTGCCGTCCTTGCCACTTGAAAGTGAAATGTAGATCAATAGTACACACCATGTGTCAGCAGATGTGTTAACCTGCTCAAGTAAGGACAACACATCTGATGCAGGTGCTGCAACCACTACTTCATTACATTTGTAATGGTTAACTATCATTCCCCATGGTCCATCTGTCTTCTGTACAAACCATATAGGAGAGTTAAAGGGAAATATGATGAGAACCACCATCCCTGCGTCTTTCATGCCCTTGATGGTCTCACCAATTTCTGTAATACCTCCAAGAATGTGATACTGCTTTTGATATCAGTTGGAAGATTATACTCAAAGTTTGCTCACTTAGCCTTCCCTCTGTCCATCCTAGTTGATTTATTCAGTTGTTATTGCTGGTGATGAGTCCTTCACTAATGGCAGAATGCATAGCGAAGCTTTCATCATATTGTCATTTTTTACATTAAGTTGTGTTTCTCTTATTAATACCACTAAGCCTAGTGTATTGTTTATTCAAATATTGTTTTTATTCTAGGTATTACACATATGTAGTACTAGTCTTTTGTTTTCTTTGCTGTTGTAGTATAGAGAAGCTTCTGGTCGTAATTTTCCTAAATTCAAACAAATTTACTATAACTAGATGCAAGAATCTATGTCATTAAGACTTCAGCCAGTCAGCTAGCTTGTCTTTCCATCTATCTATCTGTCTGTCTGTCTGCCTGCCTGCCTGCCTGCCTGCCTGTCTGTTTTGAGACAAGTTCTCACTCAGTAGCCAAGTCTAGCCTGGAACTCAATAGGTGACTCAGGATTGTTTTGAACTCACAACAATCCTGCGTCATCTTCCCAAGTGGTAAGTTACAGAAGTTAATCATCATATCTGACAAGACTTCAGTTTAAACCTGAATTAAGAAAAGGAAACCCTTCAAGAAAGAGCCAGGTCTCTCTCTTTCCCCCTCCCCCACTTTCTCTTCTTAGGGTAACATAAAGCTATTTAAGTATTCCATACAAGAATAATAGATCGGGCTGGAGAGATGGCTCAGTGGTTAAGAGCACTGACTGCGCTTCCAGAGGTCCTGAGTTCAAATCCCAGCAACCACATGGTGGCTCACAACCATCTGTAATGAGATCTGATGCCCTCTTCTGGTGTGTCTGAAGACAGCTACAGTGTATTCATATATAATAAATAAATAAATCTTTAAAAAAAAAAGAATAATAGATCATTCTGGCTTTAGAAGTATCACTCTGGCGGCAATCTGAAAAGTCACAGTTTATCTGAACTGTAAAAGGGTAACAAAACTAGAGTATAGTTGGGAAACTATGTTGAGAGGTCAGATTATCATTGTCTTCAGCATGGTCTTCCCTAAGGAAGGAACCTATCAGAAATTAATGAAGTGAACTTACATCGGGACGGGTATGGCCCTCATGCCTCACTGGACAACGACAGGGGGACTGGAGACATTACAAGGTCCCCTTCAAATACTGAAGGTTAGGCCTCTATCCCCTCCTTCACAAGTTTAGAATCGCCACAGCCCTTCTATACTTAGAGAAGGGAGGAGATGTCAGGGGCAGCCCTGCTTACACACTGTAGACCTAAAATCAGCCATAGGCCTAAAATCAGCAATAGGCCTGTCATACATGTATACTAACACCAAGTCTTGGGTCTCAGTGGAAAAACACTGAAACAGATGGCTATAAGCTAATGTCAACGGGCAGCTTTTGTGGAAATTTACCAGCCTGAGTAGTCATAGACCTTGTAAATAGGTAGCCTTGGCAGACAATACCAACTTAGATAAGGACAAGTGAATCATAGGCAGAGTCATAGTGAATTGTCCCCTGAACCTTCACCCAGCCGATACCCAGTTCTGAAAGATATCTATATTCCCCTGAACACCCACACTCCAGTGTCATTCCCTTCCTCACACCCTGCCATTCTGTGTTTATAACCCCTGTGTGAATTAATTACGATTGGAGAAAAAAAAATAAAATGAACTTAATTACCTAGTGAAGGTGAGGAGGTAACTAAATTATGGTGTCTTGTACTGAATTAAGAAACATAGGACAACATAGATGTGGAACTAATTTCTAAATATCTTGGCACATGAATTTGTTCAGAGGAGATATATGACCCAAAGATAGAGACTTGACACTTGTGTTAGTTTCTTGTCACTGTAACAAAATACCTGAACAAAAATTAGGAGAAAATGCTCATTTTGGCCCACAACTTTAGAGATTTCAATCCATACTTGGGATTTACTGCTTAAGCTATGGCATGGCAAATGACATGGCTGAGGAAATCTCACTTGATACAGTCAAGAAGGAAAGAAAATGAGATGAAAAGATACTAGAGACAAGGATGCTTAGAGTCTTTTCAAAGACATGCCCTAACAACCACTTCTTCCAACCAAGCCGTGCTTCTTTTCTTTTATATATATATTTTTTTAATCAAATCATAATGTTTACTTATTCACACTTATAAACACAAAAAGGCAGGACGTGGGGAAGGGGATGACACCAGAGCATGGGTGTTCAGGGGTAATACAGATATCTTTCAGAACAGGGTATCGGCTGGGTGATGGTTCAGGGGACAGGTCACTATGACTCTGCCTATGATTCACTTGTCCTTATCTAAGTTGGGATTATCTGCCAAGGCTACCTACCTATTTACAAGGTCTATGACTACTCAGGCTGGTAAATTTCCACAAAAGCTGCCTGTTTACAATAGCTTATAGCCATCTGTTTCAATGTTTTTCCACAGAGACCCAAGACATGGTTATACATGTACATGTATGACAGGCCTATTGCTGATTTTAGGCCTATTGCTGATTTTAGGCCTTCAGTGTATAAGCAGGGCTACCCCTGACATCTTCTCCCTTCTCTAAGTATAGAAGGGCTGTGACGATTCTAATCTTGCGAAGGCAGGGATAGAGGCCTGACCTCCAGCAATTGAAGGGGACTTTGTAATCAAGCCTCACTTCTTAATGACTCATTCTGTTCTAAATTCATCAATGGATTAATCTTTTAGTGAAGTTAACATATTTGTGATCCAATCACTTCTCAAAAAAGCCTTCACTATATGGCCTTAGAGGTGGCCCATTTTATATCTACACTGTAACAGAAGCCATTGTATATAGCTTATAATTTATAGTTGAACCTATTTGAATAAGGTCAGAAAACATATTTAAATTCAAATGTAAAGAATGATGAAGCCTGTGCAAGACTTTTTTTTTTTTGCAAGATTCTTATCAGAACTGAGAAAAGACAGGATTTTGAGAAGAGTGAACAGTGCCAAAAGCTTTGAGCAATGAATAGAAAGTCAACATTAGAGAGTCTATGTCATTTGGCATGGTGCAATCCTAGGTGATCAGTGGCATGAATTTTCAGAGATGTGGGCTATGAAACTTTAATTACCTGCAACATGTTTTTACACCTTTTATGAAAAGTAGGTAGACAATACAGAACAGGCACAACAAACCTCTGTTCTACATTCTGTATTCCTGAGAATGAAGGCGAAGGTAAGGAAAGCATGCGAGTAACAGGCTCAAATAGTTTGTCAGTAGTTTCCCCCACACACTCCTCCTTGAAATCTTATTACATTTTCATGTCAATTTTATGCTTAGCTTTATTTTTCATAATTATCAGATTTTTAGTGGCATGAGTTCTAAAAAAAAAATCAGCATTGTGCCAAATCAAATTAAATATAGATACTACTGGGCTGGAGAGATGGCTGACAGGTTAAGAGCACTGTCTGCTCTTCTAGAGGTCCTGAGTTCAATTCGCAGCATCCGCATGATGGCTCACAACCATCTATAATGAGAACTAGTGCCCTCTTCTGGCCTACAGGATACATGCAGGCAGAACACTGTATACATAATAAATAAATAAATCTTTAAAAAAATATATAGATACTACTACTGTGTGGTGTGACATCTACCAATGCACAAGATTCAAACAGTTTATGACAGAAACACATAAAATCAGGATTGACAGCCTTTTGGATAAATGTGAGGTATCTTAACAAATGATTTTTAAATGGGGCCATCTGTTAAAGCTTGATGGTGCTCTGAGTTTGAGCAAGAGATTATTTATATTTTCACGAAAATCAGGCATTAACCACACTACTTCCTACTTCCGATCTGGGCCCGAGCACAGAGCAGATCCCAGGCGGCAGCTCTGTACCCAACCTCACAAAACCCAGAGGAAGAGGGCCTCCCAGAAGCTCTAACCTGGACAGTATCTCAGGTAAAAATGAATCACCCGTTATGTCTACTGTTAGAAGTTCTAATCCAGATGCTGGCCTCCCAACTTATACTACTCAGACCTTTGACGGGCCATCGACAAGAACATCAAACATCTAGTGATTGACATCACTAATCTGAAGAAATCCCTCATTTCACTGTCTGAAGAGACCTCCAAAAATTGCAAAGGACTTTATTGGACTTGATTTACTCTTTTACAATAGAAAAGACTGTACAGCTCTTTGCCTGTGTTGCCTTTACATAGACAAGACAGGGATGGTTAAAGAGGGCATGAAAAAGGTCAGAGAAGGCCCCCAGGAAAGACAGAGAGAGAAAGAGAAAGATGAGAGCTGGTATAAGAATTGGTTTTCAACCTCTCCATGGTTGTCAACTCTACTTCCTCCCATCTTGGGACCATTAATTGGGTTATTTTTGCTTATTTCTTTTGGTCCCTGGGCCTTAAATAGGCTGACTAACTTTGTGCAACAACAGGTAAATAATTTGGTAGCAAAACCTATTCAGGTACATTATCATAGGTTAGCTATTGAGGACCACAAGACTCAAGATGAGGTTGTTACTCTATCCAGGGTGTTCCCAAAACGCATCTCCCCCAACCTAAAAGAGGGAACTTCTACCCCTAGACCAAGCAGAGAGGGGCCACCCAGAACCCCCTCTGACTGGCGATCTGAATTCTTGCTTAGGCTGCAAGGCTAAGCACTGCAAGGGAATATAAATAAAAGTTAAAAATATCTCGGGACATCGACAGGCCTGCGAATGTTAAGAATCCTTTAGCCGGCGCTGCGAGGGACACGTGACTTGTCTGCAGTCGCTGCTAACTGGTGTGTGTGACGGTGGATTGGATCAGAACGAGGCTGTGCAGCCTGGGACCGCTGGAGTTTTTGTGAGCCCTTGGGAAGCATGCCTGGATGAATGAGAAGTCGGGACAAAGGGAATATAGGATCAGACCAGCACAAGAACATAACTTTTAAAACGACTGAGTTTTCTTGATACTTACTGTATACCTTTTAAGGGAGAAGGATGATCCCTTCTCTGCCCACCATGACTGTCCTCATCCCTCTGGTCTCACTGGCAGGCCTGTTCTACTCCGCCTCTGTGGAGGAAGGCTTCCCAGAGGGCTGCACCAGCGCCAGCAGCTTGTGCTTCTACAGCTTGCTGTTGCCAGTCACTGTACCAGTGTACGTGTTCTTCCACCTGTGGACGTGGATGGGCCTGAAGCTCTTCAGACATAATTAGGGTAGCCGAGGCCCCCATGCTGGGGCTGCGTGTGGAGTCGTGCTTGGGGCAGGAGGTTCCTGGTTGTTGGGTTCTGTCCTCAAGTGTTGCAGATTTTCCTGTTGGTGCTGTAGCCAAAAAAATGCTTTCAATAAAAGGTCTTGAGGGAGAGGAACACGAGAAAAAAAAAAAATATCTCCCTGGGTTCCCTGAGGGACAAGCCTGACTGCATAGGGGTTGATGTCAAAAGTATCCCCTCTCCAGGAAAAAGAGGGTATGACCCTCATGCCTCACTGTACAACAACAGGGGGACCGGAGCCATTACAAAGTCTCCTTCAATTACTGGAGGTCAGGCCTCTATCCCTGCCTTCGCAAGATTAGAATCGCCACAGCCCTTCTATACTTAGAGAAGGGAGAAGATGTCAGGGGTAGCCCTGCTTATACACTGAAGGCCTAAAATCAGCAATAGGCCTAAAATCAGCAATAGGCCTGTCATACATGTACATGTATAACCATGTCTTGGGTCTCTGTGGAAAAACATTGAAACAGATGGCTATAAGCTATTGTAAACAGGCAGCTTTTGTGGAAATTTACCAGCCTGAGTAGTCATAGACCTTGTAAATAGGTAGGTAGCCTTGGCAGATAATCCCAACTTAGATAAGGACAAGTGAATCATAGGCAGAGTCATAGTGACCTGTCCCCTGAACCATCACCCAGCCGATACCCTGTTCTGAAAGATATCTGTATTACCCCTGAACACCCATGCTCCGGTGTCATCCCCTTCCCCACGTCCTGCCTTTTTGTGTTTATAACCCCTGTGTGAATAAGTAAAAATTACGATTTGATTTAAAAAATAATAAAAATAAGTTTTAAAAAAACACCACACTACTTCAGAAAAAGCAGATGCTTTGTAGAAATTCATTATTCCCAAACTAACTGCTGTCATCCAAATATCAGCATCCCTCTTTACAAAGAAAGGTGCCATAATACTAGTCCTTATGTGTGGGAATGTGAGATTATTGTACTTTTACTGTATGTACAGTGTGGCAGTTTCTCCCTAGCTCCACATCTGTCCTCCCTCACTAGGACCAACTTTCTACTTACTTAACTGAAAATAAATGACCTTTGAAAATCGTGACACAAGTACTTGAATCTGAATTCCAATCCTAAGATAAACTCAGTCTTTCACAGTTTATGGGGTATGAAAGAGTTGTGTTATTTAGACTACTGTTCACTTTTCCTCTTATTACTGTGGTCTTTTTGGGCAACAATAAATCTCACCAGATATAGTATAGTAGAGAAATTTTTCAGAAGAGAATACAGCTGTTTGATTTTGTTAAAGACTTTGTATAGCAAATAGAGCAGGAAGGTAACCATGTGTATACTTTAAATCTACACAACACAGTCTTAGGTGGTGTGTACTCAATAAATATTTATTAAACATGCAGTTAGTGGAATTTTGCTGGAAATCAACTTCCACTATTACTCTTATGTAGTAACTTCATTGTAAAGCGTAAACCAGAATCTGCAACATCAACATCCATGGTATGTTAATTTGATTTGCATATAAACAAGCTATGGCTATTAAAGATAAAATTTAAAGGGAGTTTCTAATTCTATTTGCATTCCTATTTTACCATTGTTGAGAGAACTGCATACTGTGTACAGACTTTGGTTTTCTGTCAGTCGTGCACCTCGTAACCCTCGTCACTGAACACAGTGCTGTTCACGATCCCTGAGGCATGTAAGCACCTTGCTCAAAGTTCATGTCAGTATTTAGGACATGCTTTCCAGTTTACATTCTTTATTAGTATACTAATGAACGGTTAGTATTTATTAATTGGTATTCTCTTAGCTTCTGCCTCTTTATACCTATTTGAAGAGTAACATGGCCCAGTTATGAAACAGCCTTCTTCCCATATGCTGTTTGCGTTGAAGTATTTGTCAGAATGGAGGGTCACGGGAAATGTGGAGATTTCCGTATGTGAAAGCTCACCTGTTTTGTGCTTGTCACAGGAAGCCTAAAGCCACTCATTTTCTACCCCAGGTTCTGTGTGCTCTGAAAAGCATGGCATACTGGCTTAACATGCGGTCCCATGGACTCACTATGAAAATAAGCACTGCCAGTTATTGGTTATGTGAGTCCAGCAAGTATTCCTCTCTTCCTCAGTTTCCTCACCACTTAGATGGCAATAAAGAGAACTGTTGTGAAGATTAAATAAGATATTATGTATCACAGACTTGACACAAGGCTGATCTGTGTGGTGGTTGTAGTGTTTCACACAGACTAGAAGGCATTGTTCTGCCTATGGAAATGTAGAGGTGTAATCATCAGCAGGCAGGAATCTCTCGATGATTTATATAGCAGGCAAATACTGATGGTTCCTATGAACTGGGATCAAAATAATGCTTCTCTCACAGGTGGTTCTATACATATGCATATGTGTTGTCAAACTTAGACTTCTGAACAGTCCTTGCAGTTCTCCACTTTCTTCTCATCAGAGAGACCTGAGACTCAGAAAAAAAGTCCCATGCACAAGTATAAATGCCTGTTAGGTGCCAGTGCCAGGATTTAGTCAAAGGAGTAAGAACAATTGCTCTCACGCTCTGATAGCTGAACTGCCAGTATTCAGAATTTACTGGTTTCTTATTCATGGTATATGACAAATTTAAAGGTCAGAGGGCATTCCAGTACATCTTTTTTGAGGATGCACAAAACAGAAACTCAGTGTTTATTCAACAACCAGTAGGATCCTTCATTTTCCTAAAATAAATAAATACACACACACATTTACCACTACAATACTGCCAAGCTTTGCTTGTGCTAAAACCTAGTTTTCTGTGTTGTGAAAACAATAAATAGGGTTCTATAGCTAAAGTGCTTGCCACGCAAGCTTGAACACCTGCGTTTTGATTCCTGTCACCCACTGTTTTAGTTGCTTGTCATTGCTGTGACTAAACAAAAAAAAGCAACTTAAGAAAAGAAGGGTTTATTTTGGCTCACAGTTCCAGAGTATAGTCTATCAAGGGAAACCCTTGAGATAATTGGTCACATTGCATCCACAGTCAGGAAGCAGAGGGAAGCTTGTGCTCAGCTTGTTCTGTCCTCTTTATACAATCCGAGGTCCCAACCCAGAGAGAGTTGCCACCTACAGTAGCCTGGTCTTCCCATATCAGTTAAATGAATCAAGATAATGCCCTGTAGGCATGTCTAAGGCCCGTCTCCCAGGAGATTCTCAGTCTCATCAAGTTGACATATTTGACCATTATAATCCTCTCTACCCCTGCAAGCATCAGAAGTTGAGTTCTGATCCCTAACACCCACATGGAAAGCTGAATACAGTGCATGCCTATAATCCCAGTGCTATAAAGACAGAAACAAGGATTACTGAGGATTGCCCACCAGTGAATCCAGTCAGTCAACAAGTTCCAGGTTCAATGAGAGACACTGTTGCAAAAAAAAAAAAAAAAGCTGGCTAAGTGACTGAGGAAGATTACGGGTATCAACCTGTGGCCTTCACATGTACATGTACTCCTACACACAGGTAAACACATGAGGGGAGGGGGGTAATGGATAAAAATATATTCCATGTATGAGATAGAGTTACCCTAATTATAGTAATATCATCTTTTTAAATTGCATTCTTTATTTGTGGGGGAGCACATGTAACATGGATAAAGAGTGTGGTGGTCAGAGGACGACTTGCAACAATCAGTTCTCTTTTTTACTTTGTGGGTCACAGGAATTGAACTCAGATTCTCAGGTTTGGCCAGATGCACCTCCACCTACTCTGCTAGCTCACAAGCCCACCTGAATTATCCTATACTGAGTAGATTACAATGTGTGCATTAATTTAAACAAAAACATCCTTTTTATTGCTTTGAAAAAATTGTTGGTCCTGAATTTCCTCCCTTTGTCCAAAAACTATAAATGTCATTTTTGGTAATAAGTTGTTTAAAAATAAGACAGTTATATGTATACTTATTTGTTACCCAAGACAATAACAAAATTTGCAAAGCACTGACACCATATGGAGTTCCTCACAAGGAATCATAGGTACCGTATAGTGCATCGTTTTTTCATGCTGATCCATACATAGATATATAAAAGTGCTGTTGTCCTTTGACTGGAGCAAATACATTCCCTGTATTCATCTTCCCAAAGTCAGTCATCCAGAAACTATCCCCCGTGTCATCCATCCTTCCTCTAGCAGCATCTCCTCAAGCTCTTCATTCAGACAGGAACTCGGGCTATGTTGACATCCTGATGCTTTCTTCCGGGTATAGAGCAGAAGGTGCTTCAACTACCTAGTTGTGTGAACTGGAAATGTTACCTGATTTCTCTGTGCCTCTCCTTTTTTCCCAGCAGTGTGTTCAGCGACTGTACCAGTTGCTTTGTGTCCAGCTTTACTGATCTTCATATTAATGTAAGGAAGAGTCCAAACAGTCTAAGAAACTTTATCAATATCACGTGGCTACTCAATAGCAAAGCCAGAGTTTAGATCATTTTGTTATAAAACTTTGGCCTAGTGTACTCCCTGAAGGATACTCCCCTACCCACACTGTCTAAAGCAGTGGTTCTAACCTGTGGGTCATGATCCCTTTAACAGTGGTTGCTTTAGACCATCAGAAAACACAGTTATTTACATTATGATTCATAACAGAAACAAATTACTGTTATAACATAGCAACAAAAATAATTTATGGTTGGGATCACCACAACATGATGAACTATATTAAAGAGCTGCGTCATTAGGAAGATTGAGAATCACTGACCCAGAGCATTGATTTAGAGGTTCTCACACTCTGCTCCAAGCTAACCGTTCTACCATCAGCTCACTACTCTTACAGGCTAGAATGTGTAAGCTCCTTCAGAAGAGTTGTCAACCTCTCGTCCTCCTCAGCATGCCTAAAGGAAGAAACCTGTACACTAGTAGTCTAATAATGTGTGCTTTCAAGACTAGGATGATAACAAATAGGCATGATTCAGAAACTCAGAGTCAGTGATCACCACACCTCTT